CAACAATTGTATTTGCCTTGGTCGTCCTCGGCCATCCTCCCGCCCCCTTTCACTGCCACGCCCCCCTTTCGCCCTTCCACTGAGTGCAATTTGGCCAACAGCAGAAATTATGCAAAGCGAAAAAAATGGCATGCGAACTTGGCATAAATCAATAGAAAATTTATACGTTTCGCCAAAGTGAACAGTTTTAGCGTGTCTGCTGCGCGACAGTCGGACCGGAGGTCTAGGATTTCGCGTGTTCTACCAGCTTTAGTTTTCCTCTTTTTTGACTTCTTCCTTTTATACATGACATTTGAAATGGTATTCTCTTTGTCAGGGAAAAATTCCACGCTGAGCTAAAGTCGGCTAAATCACTGGATAAGCACATTGATGTTGTCAACAGTTGGGATTCTCCGTAGTATGCAAATCGGATCTTTATTGATTACACGTTTACCTGTTCAAATTAAGGTTTTCGGTACTTAAGTTGGTTTCCATAAATATGCCAAGAAATTAATGTTAAACCTTATAGGATTTCTTAATATAACCTACTAAGGCTTTATTACAAAATTAAGCTTCATTATTATTTTCAGTAATCACCTTTAAAAAGACATGCTACTTTTCTAAGAAGGAAAGATGAATTTTTTGGCTTTGGACCAGCTTTGTAAAAAATTTTAAATAAATTTAAAGTGGTAATATTCAGCAAAATTGTATATAACTATTTAAATAACGCCCTATATTTATTTACTAAACATAAAACATATTTAAGAACCCATTCACCCGATGGCTATGTTTACCCTTCAAGTTTTTTGTTGTTTCTTATTGCCAAATAATATTACAAATTGAATGTACATATATACAGATAGCTCTACGTTATGGCAAATCCTTTAAGACCTAATTGTATCTAGCTGAGGCAATTAATCATCCATTGATTTCCCCGAAGGCTTCCAAGCGTTCACTAACTTGGCTCCTCTAATGGCCCAAAGGAGACTCGGGGAGCGAGGGAGGAGTGAAGTCAAGCATTACATTGTCAAGAGGAATCGGGACACCTTGCCATTAGACGGCTTAGCTAATTATTAACTGCATTAGATTCTGACAAATGACAAATTGCGTTGCCATATCCAGCTCCTTGTTTGCCCTGCCGCACACATTGTACACATGAGGGTGTATTATCGCTGTTGCCGCTAAGTATTTTTGACACAAAATTAGTTACACGACGTGGGTGGGGGAAACACGCCCAGCACATAAACACCCGTGCCCCAAAATATTCGGTATAAGCTCCGAAAAATTTCCAACACTTTGGGCCCGGTCATTTATCATTAAAAATAACCACACTGCGAAAAAGGCGAAATGCGTAATTATCGGGCTGCGGCCATGCCAGGCGAATGATTGAATGTGTTTCATCAAATATGTAACATGAATTATAATTTTTACATATTTGCGGTCTCTCTCATTCCGGTTTCTTCATATGGTATATGGTATCGGTGGAGAAATGGAAATCCATCGCGTGCCCCGAGGAAATCCAACATTTTCCAGCGCCTGGCGAACGACAGCAAAATGGGCTATAGAGAGCACGTCAGAAGTGCCGATTTGCGGTCTGACTTCAAACCGCACAGTGTTTGCGATTCCATAGATTTTGTGGAAAAGTCTTCCCATCGCAAATCGTATTTGACTTAAGGAACTTTTTGAGAGGCATTTCATCGCTTTCCTATTGATAAAAAACAATTAAAAACAACTTTACATTTTATTATTAAGGAATAAATTAATGCTACTTTGTGGCCATCTATGATTTTACTTTTTTTCCAAGAAAAACTCATTTCAGTGTTATGCTAACCATTTATATTTTTAAAATATCCTGAATAAAATATCATAATATTAGCACTTGCAATATAAAAATTCTATACCAATTCTAAAGCAATTGTCTAAAATTCACAATATAAGTCTCTTTCAGGGACCAAACAAAATCGTAAGCATTAAAAAAATGTCCGTCCATTTATCTCTGGAATTTGTATGGCTTTTTTCACTTTGTGGCAAGAGTGAACAGAGTAGTAGTTTAAATTAAAAGTCTTAAATTCAACAATATTACGGTTAGTGATTTTAAAGGTGTTAAATTAAAAGTCAAACGTTGATGGATAAATATTACCAATGCATATTTTAAGTTTTGTATATCTATCCCTAAATTTGATTGGCTCACAAAACGTTTAATTAAATTTAAGATTCGAGTTCCCCTCTCGTTGATGCACTGTTTAGCTGTGTGGCAGGTTCGACGTGTGCCTTAGCTATCTGCATACATTGTGTGATACGGGGGATCTTAAGTAGGCACACTTGTGGCGAACTGGGGCATAACGCACTCAACACGGCATAAATTAAAATTTTTATGTCCGACGCGTTCGCTCTTCTTTCTCGCGGGTTCCTCGGGTTTCCTTGTGGGATGAGTGTGTTTTTTGCTGGAGAAATTCACAGCTCACGTTGCGGATTGCGGATTGCGTGTGGCAAGTGAAACAAACACGCAGGAGACAGAGCCAAATACGCCAAATACGATTTTTAGTGGCCCGGAGCGCGAGTCACGTTATAATTTGCCAGCCAAAAGTCCTACAATCCAGACCGCGTTTGCTAATCAAAGCAAATGAAAACAACATGAATTATGGGCGACTGGGGCGAAAGGCTAATAGGGTTAAAGCCGCAGAGTTCTGCAAATGAAATAACCCGAAAAGCGTCCCACATACGAGTGTGTGGCTCATTTTTAATGAAATTGTTCGACTGTGGTTTTTCGTTTTCGGCCCCTTGGAAATGGTCTCTTGGCTTTGGCTCCGTGTGACACACGTAATTTGAATATATGGCACTAGGCTTTGGTTCCGGCCACAGGTCAATGTGGGGTGTGCGGTCTGGCCACCAACTATTCGGGGCCACTGTGTCCCTTTGACGCTTTCCAGCCCGGCCGTTTGATAAATAATGAAGTCATATGTTTAGAGTTGAATTTTATACTATCACGCAATTGCCGGGGTCTATCTGAGCCCCGGACCCTGGAACCCAGACTACTGCGATACAATGTAAGCGACGCCCACATTTTCGCAACTTTTTATGTAATCGTAAAAATATTTTTATGATTTCATAATTTTACAGTGTTGGCGGGGCCAAGAAGAATGCTTCTTGTTTATGGCCATAGCCACATTGCCCTGTGCCTCTGTCTTTGCACTCGGAAAAAAGTACAGATTTTATAAGGAATGTGTAACAGAAGCAAATAATAAAGCAATAGTTTAAATTACATTATGTATTATGATAGAAAAATATTTTCTGCAAAGACTAAGACTATTCACATTAAATTAAAATTCAAATCTAGACAAGGACACGAAAAACTTTCAGTTTATTTTTCAGTGCGAATTCTGCAAATTTGTGGCATTTTTATTTCGCCTGCTTCTTGGATTAATTTTTGTAATTTTCCACTGGCGCATCCGCAGCATTCGGTACAAAACGGTGCTTTAAGATCATGCCTGGCTAATCTTAGCCTTGACTCATATCGCAGCATTTATTCGCAATTTTATGCAAAACCATATTTCCCAGCTGTAAAAGTTGGCAGTGCCGGTGGCCGGGCTGAAATGGAATCACGGCGGGTGGCCTGCTGTCTGCTCCTATTTCCATTCCACCCGAGATACACACACGTGTGTGCTGGGGGAATAGAGCGCTATCTGTATTTGTATAAGGCTCGGCTACCTTGCAACAAGGACGACACACCGCTCAGAGCTCACAGCTCACAGCTCACAGCTTGAAAAATGTTTGTTGTCAACATTTTCAGTTTGCATCGTTAGCTTAAAAGCGTGCGCCACCGAGCTCCTCGCACAATGGGGCGAAAATCGATAAATGAGACAAACCGTGTGATTTGGCCCCCTCCGGTCCACAAAGGACTTTCATTTTGATCACAAAATAGAAAAGTGCGGAGGTTACAAGGCCATCCGACGACGGTGGGTGTGGCCCAAGTGCCGTGAAAGCGGTCTCCTCAAACAGAAATTAATTATTCCGATGAATTTGATTCGGTGGAAAAGGAGGAGCTCAAAAAAAGAGACTGTAACTCTAGCAAAACTTTATGAATATTTGTGCTAATGGCTTGGCCGAAGATTGAACTTTTCGCCCACAGCTGCTGCAAATAAATAAATTAAAATATGTGTCCAACAGGTATCCGCAAACACAAAGCCTGTGAACGTTTCCTTGTGCCTGGCGTAACAACAGGATTTATCCGCTTCTAAAAATATTCTCCTCAGCGCTGCCAAAGTTATGCCAAACTCTTGCAATTAAACTGTCAGACTTATGAATTCATTAAATATTTTAATTGTAGCTTTTGAATAATTAAAATTCCATTTATATGGCCGTACACATACCTCAAGCCATAAATCTGCGATTAATTAAAAGCCCCCTTCTCAGCTTTCCCGTTACCCGTTGCCTGTTTTCGGTATCCAGGGCGTATACGTAATGGCAATTAAACCTAATTACAAAAACATAACCAAAACTCAATTGGAAAACGTTTCGACTGCTTTGGATCTCCAGTTGATTGAACTGTCTGTTCCGACAGCGATTTGCCATTTATGCAAATCACGGAGCTCGAGGTGAGCGAGAATAAAAGAAGTAGCTAGTCGTTGGCTGGATTGTTTTGCCTAACTTTGTATTCGCATCGAATTTAAATTCGTATTGATACACATAGAAAAATATATATAATATATATAAATATAAATGCACAGTCTTAAAAATATCCAAAATATTTAAGTACTATTAATCGTCCTTTTAACAAAATTACAGTTTTGGAAAATCTTAAAGGTATTTATAGTTATTTTTGGAATCAATAAATAAAGCTTCTCCTATTTTCATAAATAAAAAATAACTGGTGTGAAATTTATTGATACCAATAGAATATTATTTTAAAAATAGAGATGAATTAAATTTATTATAAATGTTAATTGCAAGGATGAAAAGTAAAATAGGTTCAGTAATTTTACGTTCAACTGTGTTTTTTCAGTGTATTTATATTCACTCACCTGGATCATCGTCGTCGTCCCAATCGATTTGACCGGAAGTTATGCTGATGTGAGCCGCGAACAGGAAGACCGCGAATAAAGCCAGGCAGCTTCGTCTGATGTTGGCGTGGTAGGAAGTTGTTACGGGCATTGTGGAAGTCCTTTTCGCTGGCAAATCCATTGTGTAAAGTGTAACAATTTATATGCAGGCTCGTCTCGTATTTCAGAGTGTTTACTCGCCCTTCTTCTGACGTTACTTTCAATTTAATTTTCTCGAAAAAGTGCAGCCACTCTCACTCACACGCGAACACATTTACGGGAGCGGGCGGCTCCTTCGGCGAAATATTCCCTAAAATTCTGTTGTGCTAGCTAGCTTCAGCTTCCACTTCCACTTCCTCGGGCTGAGCTGGTCTGATTCGGAATTCAGGGAGTGCGCGGCTTTTTGCTCTCGACTCCTACAACTACTAATTAAGTTGTTTCATTTTCAGTTTTTGCCCGGGGCATAACTTTTGCGCTGCTGTTGCTGCTGTTGCTGCTGTTGATGTGGCTGCCGCCGCGTGGCACTGAGGTGTGCAATGCCCTCCAAATGTTGCATTGTTTTTCCAATTTCAATTTTCTGTAAAGGAAGAGAGGTTGGAAAAATAGAGAGGTGAACAGAATTATAATTTGAGTTTTGCCGGGGGTAAAATACAAAGTCCTTTTTAAGTGGATTAATAAATTAGCTAATTGCATGTTGGCTAATGAGATAATGATGGCTGTGTACCCTTTGATTTGCTCGTCATTAATGAACCCCTTGAATCACTTTAATTTGTAAGCCTTATATAAGTTTTTAGTCAACTCAAAATACTGTGCATACACCTATACTTCATAATATGCATTTTAGCTTTTAATTTTTGTATACCATAAGTTTAACCTAGTTCCCCCAAAATCAATTCAATTTTATTATGTGTTTCTACTCTGATGAACCCAAATCAAATTTTTCAAATTTTCTCAACTTTATGATTGTTACCACATTTGCATTTCTATAAGACTCATTAAAATTATTTTACTTTGTGTTCGTTAGACATCATTAAGAGAGTGCAGCCTAGTTTTGCCCTTACAACCCAAACTCTTACTTTTTGACCTAGTTCCCGACAAGTTGTATCCACGTAAAAACGGAAATTAGTTTCACTTTCGAAAGCTAACAAGCTGCGCCATGATGACGGGCTCATTGAACCCCAGTCTCTTTCGGCGGAGCACTTCTCACTTCTTTTGGCCCCCAAAACGGTTGCCTACATTTCGGGGCACTATCTGCAGTGCCTAATTTGGCATGGTTTGGACACATCCCTCCGCCCGGCTTATTATGCGCACTTCAAACTTTAGACAACGCGGCAGCCCCAGAAGCAGCAGCAACAGTACATTGTTGTACATGCTGGCAAACATCTCACGCCACGGCTGCCTGCACATTCCCATCCCAGCCGCCCAGGCCAAAAACCAAACCAACACTCAGGGAAATGCATTTCATTTAATCTAGGGAAGGGAATTTACTTTGGAATTGCCAGAAATTTAGTGCCCTGCTCGGTTAACTTATGATGAAGCGGTTTTATTTATATACCCCTGTATTTCAATTAGTTAAAGGTTTGACACGGAGTAAAATCACAAAGGTCTTCCATCTATTGCAATTAGTAAATAAGTCGGAAGAGGCCGGATCGGACCATCATATCATATCGCTACTATAAAAAATCGAAAAAATAAATGAAAAATTATAGTTTCTTTGTTTTGAACCACATACGCATATACTTAGAGTATATGCTACTCAAAAGTTTGACATTTTTAATGTTATAAAAAGCGGAAGACTAAATCATATAGCTGCCATAGGAAGGATCAAATATTTATTGGAAAATCGACTAAGCTTCATTGTTTTTCAAGTAAATAAAAATCATATATAGTAGTTTTATAGAATATATTTTTGTTGTAATAGTTGCAAGGGTATATAAACTTTGACTAGTGAAATTATATTTATAAAAAATATATTTATAATTAACTAACTGGAATTAAAATATCAGTTACAGCAGTTAGTTTTAGATTTGAAATAAACATTATGATTAAGGACATTAGCTTTACTAATCTTTAACATGATATTGAGAAAATAAATGTTTCCCCAACAGTAGCTTAACTCTGTGTTGAAACTTAATTGAGTTGGCTAGTCACTGCTATTTTGTCGCAGTGCAGCCACTGCTCAGCCTGCAGCCATCCGCTGCTGGTGGTGCTTCTTTATGCAGGCAGCCACTCACTCAAATTTCGAGTGCAGCAGCGCCGCTGCAGCAAATTTTGTATACATTTCGTTTAATTTGGCCCGCTGCCGAGGGCCTGCCGCCCAACTCCCGCCGCTGCGAAAACTTTAGCGACACTGTTTTGGAAGGGGAAATGTAATACAGAAAAAACAAAACTCGGGACAGAAAATAAAAATCCAAAAAAGCAGGACGAGTGGAGGCGAAAAACTGAAAAAGTTGTCTGCCGAAATCAACGCCACTTTCGCCACAAGCATTAAGCGTTGCATGCAAAATTACCAGCGAGTGGTTTGTATTTCCACTCTGATTGCTGTTTAACATGGTTACATTGTCCTTGGAACCGAAACTGAAACTGAATCAGAGTCCTGGAACCGGGGAATCCTGAATTCCGTTGTTCTACCCGTACTTTTGATGGTTGTTTCGGTAACGATACATGTGCATCAACATCTATGGTGGCCGTGCATCATGACATGCTCTAGTTGCAAAACTTTCCTACTTTTTTCACTCTTTTCACTTTGTCAAACCATTTTTTATCGCTTTATTTATATGCATATGGGACAAGTGGCACCCAAACGAGAATGGGGAAACACGAATTTGCTGTTGCACAAACCCAAACTTTGCCCCTGGCTGGACAAACTAATTTGCGCTTAGACAGGGGAGCCAGAACAAAAGTTTGCGCCTAAACACTCACTTGAGGTGAAACCGGTTTTTAGGAACTTATGCACGACAAGAGGCAAACGGCAAACATGTGCGGTTACTTCATCAACATTTCACGCTCGACTTGGCCAGCCGGGCCAAATGGTAGAAAAACTGCCAAGGCACGCAGCAAAAATGTATGCAATGCCGGCTGCTGTTCCCTGTTTCCAGTTCCCCGTTCCCCTTTCCCTGCTACCTACCACCTGCCCCAATGCCCCATTGCCCATCGCCTCTCACCTGGCCGGCAAAATAAACTCGACTCAACTGTTGAAAATCAACTAGCTCCTGCCTCCTATCCCTGCCCCAAAACGTGGCACAAAGTTTGCCTTCAGCTCGACGATTCTCGTTTTTTTGTTGCGGCTCCTCCTTTTGGCCACTGCAAATACTTGGCAGCGTATGTGCTCTCCGGTCTGTATATATTCATACGAGTATTTGTCCAGGTATGAGTTCATGTAAGCATTTATCGGTCAGGGCTCCGTTTCTGACCGAAAACCTTTTCGGCATCTTTGCACCGGGTAGCTGGAATTTTTGGCTAAGCTGTGGCACGGAAGTTTTGTGGTACTGCTGAATATTTGTTTGAAGATAAGTCTAAAATTTGGAAGTTATAACAAAACACTATAATATACCATATATCAAAATATGTTTAGTTGATCAAAAAGGTTTAGTTGACTATATGGAAATCGAAAATTACAATACAAAACATTATAGTCAATACAAATTAATTTACCTTAGCATTTAAACGCAATCATTAAACAAGATTGATTTAAATTATGTTTATTTTCAAGAATATCTAAATAAGTCTTGTTTTATACTTTAAGTTATATTTTATTAAACCGCCATTATTTTGGAAAAATGTTAAGTTTTCACTAAGAATTAGGCAATTTCTTTTATGGTCTTGGTGTTTTTCCAAGCTTTTATTTTGCCGCCGTTTCTATGAACATGGCCAGCCATCGATTTGGCACGTTTTGTGGGTTGGCAAACCCCGCAGTTGTCGTGCTCGGAGCTCCTCACATCCCCGTTTCCGTGCAGCAATTCGGACAACGAGTTAAAGTGTTTCGCCACGCACTTCAATAAAAACACCTCCACGTACACAGCCGGTAAGCAGCTAGTTTCGTGACGGGCGACTCTGGCGATACGCATACGCAGTGTGGGCCGGTGCGCAGCCATCGGCGGAATAAAGTGGCGCAGTCTGTTCCCAGCATATTCGTATATTGTGTGTGTGCACTGGGTCCTTCGTCTATCTGGCGGAAGTTTTTCCATCCTGGCTGCGCCATATGTTCAAGTGCTTAATAACTAAATGCCAAACGGCTGATAGCCGAATCCAATAAAATATTCGGGCAATCGGGTGACTGGTGCCCCTGCCGCGGAGATTGACGCATTAGTCACACCCGGGTGGCTTGCGGTGGACTCCATTAATTACAAATGGCTTTTATTCAAAGATAATTAAAAACCGATAGCCAAAGCAACCCCGCCTCCAGGCGCCTTAAATAATAAGCTGCTATAAGCCATTTAATCTGCGCCTCACGCTCAAAAGAATACCTGAAGGGCTAACACCATCCGGAAGCTATTAAAATTCGCTGGACTTAATTTGTTTGTATTGTTGATCGTGACTTTTAAAAGCATATATAATCGCTCATGCTAGGAAAAAATAGGTTTACAGTTATGTTATAAAACATGTCAGTGTGGGCTTGAAGCATTTTTTATGTATAACCACTTCAAGCGCAGCTTTTTTAAAATTGCAAAATTTTTTTTTAATTGGTTAAATATGGTTTCCGAACCAATTATTTTATAAATACAAGGAGGACTGTTTTATGAGTTTAACAACCTAAAACATAGAAATAAAATATTTTTTAATGGATAACTAGCAAGTCAAATATTGTAAAAAAATGAAATCATTGCAAGAGACTTATTTGCTCAGCTTTAGATGCTTGTCCAAAACACGCTTCCTAATTAGATAACAACATTAGCAGCTTTTAAATTTCACGGCCGTGTAACCCCAAGGCCTTTGATTAAATATTTAACGTTTAGTTGCTTAAATTTTAAACATTTCGACATGCTTCCAGGCAACGAGCCCCCGAAAAACCCCAACCAGTCAGGTGTCAATGTCGCAACCCCAGCCCCGTAATTGCCAAAGACACCAAGGCCGTTGGAGGCGGCGTTCTTGTTTGGCAATTTCCAGATGTGTGTGGCCAGGAGCAGATATACACGATTCCCGTACATACATATATAGAGGCTGAGAAGCGGGGCCGAAAAACAGGCAGAAGTAGCAAATTGGCGGTGACATTGACAGGGCGGAATGTGGGAGGACATCCGGGGAACTACGACACATCGAGACTCAGGCTCCGAGCCCGGCTACAAAGTACACAAAAAGTTTTCTAATTATTTTGTCATTAAACGCACACAGAGCCAAACACACACAAGCAGCCAGCCTTGTTTACAGGCATACACATGTTTGCCGAGCTATAAAAAGGGTTGGGTTTTGGATATCCGAAAACCCTCCGGAAAAACGGGGAGGGCGGGTGGAAGCGGGCCAAAGAAAAGTGTCCTTAGCAAGAGGCAACTTTTTCTCCTAATTGTTTCATTTCATGAAATGGAGGTAAGATATTTCGGCAGCTGTGCGTGTATTGCCCCAGGCACTCACACACCCTGG